TTAGTAATTGTTATATGGGAGCTTTCTCGGCTCGCAAGAAGCTGCCCATGTAGCAATCCCTTGAGGCTCGTTGGAAGCCGCATATCGCTTTGGTTCCCCAACGAGTTGGGAACTTGACACATTGGTGGTATGTGAAAGCTACAGCTTTTATCGCGTAGAGCCACAGTCTGCTGAGTATGGCATTAATTGGAGCTGGGCAATCTATGACCACGAAGTCGATTGTTTTTATGACCCGCCGGCCTTAACTGGAAGCTGGATGGTTCCTAACGAGTAGGTGGTTTCTCCTGCGAAGCCCGTGAGTGGAGTTCGATTGTTCGACAGCATGGACATTTGCTATCCAATGCGTCTAAAAGCATCGAAGAACAGCACGTCTACTGAGCTACCGGTATCGATCATGACCCTTGTGAGGTCGAAACCGCCTACAGCGATCTGGATGACGAGTGCGTCATCATGTGGCTTGTCTAGAGACAGTGTTTCGCTTTCTAGAAAGCTTATTTGATGGTCGGGTCCGTCCATAGGTAGGTTTACGGCGGCGGACTCGACCTTGCGTTGATATGCCTTGATCGAGTTGATTGAGTCTCAGCACATCTTCGAGCCTCTGCAGATGAAGTCGAATCGCTTCATTGTGGGTAGCTCCCCCTTCCCCCTGAACAAGTGAGCGATGCATGAGCTAGAGCTCGCTTGGGTTCGAGGTGTCGAGAGTTGGGTGATGCTCGGTTTTGACGAGCTTCCGAGTAGTTTTAACACGTGTCCCCCCGCGACCTTATGGAGCCTGGTTGAGCCAGAACTCGATGGTTTCCTAGGTGCGGGGTGGGGGGGGGGGGGGGGGGGGGGAGGGGGGGTGATTACTGATTTCATCGATCCACCGCAAAGGTTTAGCTCTCTGAAAATCTGGTTGATCATTTTTCTCACTGATGGAGGAGAGTCAGGGGTTTGGACTTTGACTTCGACTTCGAGATCTCGTTTTTGAGGTACTTTGTCGGGGTCCGCTTCCCTGTTTCGGGTCGAGGTCTTTTTGGGCTTTTCGCTTTTTCCCTCGGCCTTCCTGGCTTTTTCCTTGGCGAGCTTTTTTGCCAGGATTCTAACTCGAGTTCGACATTCCTCGGTGGAATGTCCGTTCTTTTTGTGGTGTTCGCAATATTTTCTTTGGTCGAAGCTCGGCTCTTTTTCGGGGGACGAGCTTTCTATAGCATACGAATGCTGACCCTTGCCTTGCGGTTCCCTTTTGGGAGGTGGAACATTAACTTTCTTCGACCTGGAGGGTGCGAGGTGGAGCTGTGAGTTACGGTATTTTGCTTCGCAGGCGGCTGTTTCATCCTCGAAGTTAGCGTATATGGAAGTGCGATGGAGCGCGTCATCGAGTGAGTCTGTAGGTCGAAGCGTGAGCTCCGCCTTGAACCTTGACTGATACCAAAGGTTGGTTCGGAGGGCGAGCAGGGCTACTGCTTCATTAGGGTTAGCAATTTTTGCTTTGATAGCCTTGAATTTAGCGATGTATGATCGAAGTGGTTCGTCTGGAGCTTGGACTAGCTTCCAGAGGTCGGCTTTGGTTTCTCGTTTTTTGTTGAAGATCGAATATTGCTTGAGGAAGGCTACTGCGAGCTCGTTGAAATTCGAGATCGAATTTCCTTCCAGCGTCGCGAACCATTCCTGGGCTGGTCCGACTAAGTTTTCGGCAAAGAGCCTGCAATATCCTTCTTCTTTTTCTTATGGGGAGAAGTTAGCTCGGATAGCCGCGAGGTTGAAGAGTCGGATGTGGGCTTTTGGGTTGCTGTTTCCAGCGTACTCCGGGACTCGTACTTTGGTAGTGTCTCGGAGGTATGTGTTCATGATCGAGTAGGTGAACAGAGTCTGTTGTATCTCGGGAATTACTCAATCGATGTCGGGAGCTGAGCTTGTGGCCTAATGGAACATGGAGTTCATCTGCCGAATGGCGTAGTCGGCCTGATTTTGGAACCTTTCGAAGGATTCAGAGTCGACTAGGTTTCTTGAGCCGGCGCCGAGGTGGTTAGTCTGAGTTGGATCATTTGGAATTGGAGTACCGAGCTGTTGATGAACGAACCCTATAGGTTGTTCGCGGATCCCGCTAGGAAGCCTCAAGCTCGAGATTGTGTTTGGTTGTTGGCAGAACAGGGGCGTCTGCGAGCTCGAGGCGAAGGCCGAGGATCTAAGCTATCTCTGTCGAGGTGGCTCAGTTCCAGGTAGGCTTAAAGGTGGAGATGGATATCTCGTGTTGGGACGGGGTCCCATTTCAGGTATTCCTGGTGTTGGCACAGGCGGAGATGGATATCTCGTCGCGGGATGAGGTCCCCTCTGTGTTATTACTGGAGCCAGAATATTCATGCTGATCGGTGTCTGGTTCGCCACAGGGGCGAAGTTTGGTGGACCTGGAGGACGCAGAGGTGTCACGAACGGTCCGGGTGGATTACTAGGAGCAGGGATCGACAAAAAGTCGAGCTGAGTCCACGGAGGTGGACTCGCAGCGGATCGAGCTACGGCTTGACGCCTTTCTTGTCTTTCTAATCTGATCTCCTGATTCTCGTTGTCGATCAATCAGATGCGTGAGCATTTGGAGTATCTCCGCCGACTTCGATGTGCTCCTAGAAGCTACGGGTATCGGTGGGGAAACAGGAGCTGCTCGGCTCTGTGATGCCGAAGCTGTAGGTGGATTCTCAGACCGCACCCAGGTTCGAGAGGGAGGCTTTTCGGCTGTTTATGACTGGTTACTCGTCATACCCAGTGGGGTGACGAGGTTGATCACGATCGGTTCCACATGGCTGGGAACGTTAGAGTTCGTGCCGGTGGTGTCGACGAGGATTGTAACCCTGGGTTCGTTTCCACCGGTTGGCTGACGTTGCCGATCGGAGTAACTTGATCTGGAGAGATGAGTATCGGTGAGATGTTTCCCGAGATTTATTGAGTTGAATCTATTGCGGTTTCAACTGGCTTAAGATCTGCTCTTGAGTAAGAGAAATCTATAGATCCTCCCCACAGACGGCGCCAAAATGTGGATACAGAAATCCACACTCATAAATTTATGTGTTTTAGTAAGAGAAGAAACTTAGGAGAATTAAAGGCTAGATTCTCTCGAACAGATTGACTGTATAAGCTAGCACTAACTAAAATAAGGACTTGATATTAATCGGTTGAGTGAAATTGTTACAAAGATCTCAATAAAAAAATGAACTGTAAAGAGCTCTGGAAGCAGTTACAGAGTTTTCGAGTGTAAGAGAAGATCAGGCCGAAGGTCCCCTAAACTAAGCTGTTTGCCTCCTTTATATAACTCGCTTCGTCGAGCTTCAAGCTCCAAGGCGTATCTCGGCCACGTGCAGCAGCTTCAGCCGGAAATCTCTCCACGTGCAGCAGCTTCCTCTACGATCTTCGGACTCGTTTGAACTGGCGAGAATATGCTCTGACTTGGCTTGGATCCTTCCTCGTTTCTCGAGATTTGGTCGAGCCGGAGCTCGACCTCGTCGAACGGAATGTCTTGTCGCTCAGGATTGGATCATTAATAGCTAAATGGACATAGTCCATATGGTCATAACCCAGTCAATTTAGCTTAGTTTGAATTTGTCTTTTGCACTTGAGTGGGCTAGATTTAAGATGCTAAATCCAGCTCCAACAATAATATAATTAAAAACTAAAAAAAATCAAATCAAATTCTTTTATATTTTTTTGGATCATTGTTATCAATCTTAAAACAACTAATAAAAGTAAATATAAGAATAAATAAAATATAAGTAGATAAATTATTAGAAATAATTATAATTCAGGTACAAATATAAATATCTATATTTGTTTTTACAGCAAACATATATATATATATATATTTGAATATATTTATAAACTTTATTACAAAATAAAAATGAAAGTAAAATTATATTTTCTTACTATTTTTTATATTTTTTTTAATTTTTAAAATTTTTAATAAGTAATTTTATTTTTTTAAATATAGTTTTTACAAAATTAAAATATTTTATTATAAGCTTTTGTATAAACTTTCATATTGAAAAATCATAATTATATATCTCTTCTAAAAAAAAGAAAATTTTATATTATATTTTATAATAAATATGTATTTAGTTATAAAAAATTAAAATTCAAAATAGAATAAAAATTATACAAAATGGAAAAAAGAGATTATATAAACAATAAAACTTCTATAAATTAATAATTAATAAATTAATAATTATTATAAATTAATAATTTTTTAATCAAACTTTTAATGAAATAATATTTTTTTATATTCTCATATAAAAATATGGTTGAATAATTATATAAATTAATAATTATATATTTAAACATATATAAATATATAATTATATTATATTATTAAATTTATAAATATTTTTTGATTATCTTTTAAATTTATTGATATAATATTTTTTTACTAGTTTTATATTATTGAAAATATTAAATTTTAATTTTTTGATAAATATTAAAAATTTGAACCAAAGATATTTCAATAAATTAATAATTATTTCGAAACCTGATTAATTAATAATTCTACAATTTAATAAAATTTCAAAATCCTAATATTATTAATTTGCAGAAATTTTAGTGTATTTGTTTGTTTTGATTTCTTAATTTCTAAAAATCGATAGAACCCATAAAAGCGGGATACTTGTTAAACCGAAACTTGGAAACGCTATGGTCGCCGGCGCCGTGAACTCGTCCGGCACCGTGAATCCCGTTGCAAGCGGAACTCCTACAACCGTTGTGAATTCAAAAAAACGAAAATCTGACAGAAACCCAACAAATGTACTCGACAACCTCCGTCTGAATGAGCCACTGTTTCGCCGTCTCTCTTCCGCCGCCGCTATGACCCGCTCCTTTCTCCAATCCAATGATCTCTTCCTCCCTCCATCTCAATCGCTCCGTTTTGAATCCCTCCTCTCATCCCTCCCAGCCACGCCTTCACCATCCACCTCCACTTGGTTTCACGCTTTTTAACCTCCGCCGCAGAAACCGACGATCCTCGCTGGTATCTTTGTTTCCGAATGTCAAAATCCACTTTCTTCCGACTCCGCTCCCTCCTTTCCTCTTCCGATTCTCCGCCGCTTCCTTCACCCTCACTCGCGGCTACAATTTTCCGTCTCGCTCTTAACGCTTCCTACAAGTCTCTCCTTCTCCGATTCGGGTTCGATTCCGTTCCCGACGTTTCCCGAGCTTGCTTCGCCGTCTGTAAGCTCATGAACGAGAAATTAGGGAAACTCGATGATCCCAAACCTGACTATTCACCTCGACTGCTCCCGAATTGCTGCGGTGTGTTAGGATTCGGGAGATTCGAGGTAGATGGGAAGCTTCTTGGGTCAAAAGGGTCACTGATTGTTCAAGCACTGGTTGATTCCAATGGCAGATTCTCAGATATCTCAGCTGGTTGGCCAAGCACGATGAAGCCAGAAGCCATTTTCCGGCAAACTACGCTTTTCTCGATCGCAGAATCGGACGAATCTAGAAGCTTCTTGATTGGAGCTCCGTGCAAACTTGGAGATGGAGGAACATCGGTGCCTCCTTACGTTCTTGGAGATTCTTCTCTTCCGCTATTGCCATGGCTTGTGACTCGTTATCATTCGTGTTCTGCAAACGAGGAAGAGGACAGTTTGGAGTCGTCTCGTAGAGAATTCAACAATGTGGTTCACACAGAATTGCGTAATGTCGAGGTTGCATTTGCCAAGGTTCGAGCTCGGTGGCGGATTCTTGATCGGAAATGGAAGCCGGAGACGATCGAGTTTCTGCCGTTTGTCGTAACTACAGGTTGCTTACTACATAATTTTCTTGTGAGTTCTGGAGATGACCAACTACCGGAAGATTGGGTGAATGGTGTTGTTGCTGCTGGTGATGGTGAGACGTGGAAAGATAATAAAGACGATGAGGAGGAGATGAGGCCGTATGAAGGAGAAGCATATGTTGGGTCGAAAAAGATCAGAGATGCTATCGCAGAGAATCTGAGCCATGTGAGTTCAACTAAGATGAATTAAAAGTTGCAAGCTTTTCTTCTTTTAGCTTGATTCTGTACGGATGTTTCGATATGCAGTTTATGGATTAGAAGATGAACTGGAGAATGTGTTTTATCACAATCCAGGAACTAGGGTTGAAGTTTATGTGTTAATAGTTTCTAAGAAAAGTTACAAGCTTTCTTTGTTTTAGCCTCATCTTGTAAATTGTGATGCTGAAGAATTGACAAGAGAGGACAATAAAGAGTTAGCAAAACAAATAACATAGAAAGAGAAAAGAAAAAAAGAAAGAGAGAATGCGCACTACTTATGTGACATTCTATCACAAAAAAACAGAAAAAGAATATTGATGCTCAACCGATCATTTGGATTAATCCGTACAGCCTTATCTTCAGCTAAAAGAATAAAAAAAAGAATTCCGTTGTTTATGTTTACGTATTGACACTTCAAAACCAAAAAGACTCTTGCTCAGTTATGTATTAAGGAGAACTGGAAGATTCTCTTGAGTCTTATCATGGCTGAGGAAGATAGGGAAAGACGTCTCTCCCCTGTCAAGTGAGTAAACCTCTGCATTGCTTAGTGTTTGATTGCTCGAAATTTTCAAATTCTGATTCGTAGACTTTGATAATTTTTGACCATCCGTGTGTATCTTTTGTTCCTTGGTCAAGTGAGTCTTTGTTCCACCTTTCTGATTTCTCAATTGCTCAGTGAGATTAGTAGACTAAAAGTTGTGATTGTGGTCGCGTTTGTTTGTTCATTCACGTGGTTCATCCGGATGAAATTGAAAATCGATCTTCGTTTATGCCAGAAATTTGAACTATTTGGATGGAAATGTCAGATGAGCAAACTAAGAAGCTTTGAATGATTTTCTTTATGGATTGAATTTCCTGATCATGTGTGCCTTTTGGCTTTTTGATCAAGTGAGTCTTTGCATATTTCAATTCATATTAAAATTTTACTATCAATAAAAGAATTATAGCGATTGTCTATGTAAATATTGTAGAGCTGCAGCGATACCACGAGCATTTGCGGTAACAATGGTGGTGGCGGCGGTCACAGTGCAGTGGCTGCCGTATTCGTGGAGTTTTGCAGAAGCATATCCGACTGAAGATCTTGTGGTCAGCCTTCCTGGTCAACCAAAGGTCGGATTCAGACAGTTCGCCGGATATGTCAACATCGACTCGGAAAATGGTCGAAGTCTCTTCTACTACTACGTGGAAGCCGACAAACAACCAGAGACCAAACCCTTAACCCTTTGGCTTAATGGAGGTTCATATGTTTCTTGTTCTGTCACTTTTGCTGTCTACAGAATTCTCATGATTAAACATAACTTCTCTAGCTCGTTTGACATTTGCATATCAAAATGGTGTGATTATTGTGACTTGTGAAATTGAGGTTGTTCTTGCAGGTCCAGGTTGTTCTTCAGTTGGCGGAGGAGCTTTCACTGAGTTGGGTCCATTTTACCCAACAGGAGATGGTCGTGGACTCCGCATTAACTCCATGTCATGGAACAAAGGTATGCATTTTTTGATCATTTTATATAAACTCAAGAGTAATATTCTGATATTAAATCTAATGCTTTCGTCTCTTATTGTAAAATGTGTAGCCTCGAACCTGCTTTTTGTGGAGTCACCAGCCGGAGTAGGATGGTCTTACTCCAACACAAGCTCTGATTACAACACTGGGGACAAAACTGCTGGTAATATTAAAATCCCCTTCTCATAACTATATTAAAAGACAGTTTGTAGATTAAGCTAATTACTCATTATATTAAGGATAGCTTTGGATTTCAACTTTGATTCATCGGAAGAACCTGAGAAGACTGTTTGTGACTTTGCAACATTTAGTAATTAATCATTAACAGACTGGACCTCTGAAACCACTGCTTCTAATTAGTCTGTTTCTTGACATGTTTTGTATTGGAACAGCCAACGACATGCTTGTCTTCTTGTTGAGATGGTTCATCAAGTTTCCAGAGTTGAAATTTCGTGACTTCTTTCTAACTGGCGAAAGTTACGCAGGTATGTCTTCGACTATTCTTATTCTTATTTCGAGTAAATGGCTATGAGACTCCCAGTTTTGCTGTTCTTATTGTTCTGAAGATGCAATTCGCTTAGCTTCACAAGAGTTAAAGTTAGCATCAATTGATTTGGGTGAATATTGGTCTTAAAAACATCATTATCCTTATATTCTCTTGCAGGACATTACATACCTCAACTGGCAGATGCTATACACAGCTACAATATACGCTCGAGTGGGTTCAAATTCAACGTTAAAGGCATTGCAGTAAGCAAATGAACCTTTTTTCTTGACGTTTCAACAACTCTTTTGGCTCTCTTCTGATACATTTGCGTTTCTTTTTTTTTTATAATCATTGACCAGATTGGGAATCCACTTCTGAAGCTTGACACAGACACTTCAGCTGCTTACGACTTCTTCTGGTCGCATGGGATGATCTCTGATGAACTGAGACTCACAATCGGGAGGCAATGTGACTTTGCCAGTCTTTTAAACCTAAGCAAGGAGTGCATGGAGGCTCTCTCTGAAGTCAGCCTCGTAACTGAGTATGTCAACGTATATGATGTTCTCCTCGACCTATGCTACCCATCGATTGTGGAGCAAGAGCTGAGGCTCAAGGAAATGGTTAAGCCCCTTTTTAACATCTTTTGTTTCACCAATTTTGTTTTTAGTCTGTTAACTTTGGAAAATGGTTTCAGGCTACTAAGATGAGCATGGGTGTGGATGTTTGTATGACGTTCGAAAGACAGTTCTATTTTAATCTCCCAGAGGTCCAACACGCCCTTCATGCCAACCACACTCGCTTACCTTACGAATGGGCTATGTGTAGCAAGTAAACCATTTTATGCTTTTATATTTAGTTTGATTGATTACAGTTATGAAGAAACTTTTTTATTGTAGGAGTTCATGTATTTTATACTGATTGGTATAAAACACTTTGCTTATGTTGCAGCTTGGTAAATTATAGTGGCATCGACTTGAGCATCAACGTGCTTCCAACTCTGAAGAAAATTCTACAGAACAATACTCCTGTTTGGATCTTCAGGTAATAATTCTACTAAAGATCCCTTTCATCTCTTTTTTTTTCATGTATTTTCACCCATGTCGAAATTGTAGCGGAGATCAAGATTCTGTAATTCCACTTCTTAGTTCAAGAACTCTCGTACGAGAACTTGCTAATGATCTTAACTTCAACACCACTGTTCCCTATGGATTTTGGTTTCACAAAGAACAGGTAAGTTCTCTGCACCATTACAATGATGCGAAAAAACAGCGGAAAGCCACTTTTACTTCTTGTCCTTGCACTTTTTTCAAAACTGATTGCAAACTTGTTGTTGTGACTAGGTTGGTGGTTGGGTCACTGAGTATGGTAAGCTATTGACGTTTGCAACAGTGAGAGGAGCGGCTCATATGGTGCCGTATGCGCAGCCCTCACGAGCTCTTCATATTTTCAGTAGCTTTGTGCGTGGCCAGAGATTGCCCAACAAGCCACATACCTCTCTTCATGAATGAGAAAGAAGAGACCTATTAATTAGATTAAGTAATTATGATTAATATTGAATGGTTAGCTTGTTAATTAACCACTTACCACGTATATAAAGGATAAGTATAAGCTTTGATTTAGCAGCCGAACCTTGCCTTAGCCATCACTTAATGATTGGACTATATAGATAAGATGTGAAATGATGTATGACTGTATTCTGATTCTGCTTGATATATTCTGATTCTGGTAACGGCAAAGAGATCCAATTATGTATTTTGATTTTGCTTGCATAATATAGAATGATCTCTCTTCATACTCTTTACAATTCTATTAGTCTTCTAACAATTGTTCCGCAACTCCTTCCACAAGCTTCTAAGCCATTTGCTCCTAAAATAACAGTTTCATGACCTGTTTAAGCATTATGTGAAACAAAGAATCAGGCTCTCAGGCTGTGAAGTAGCAAACTGATGTCTTGCATGCCTTTGAATATGCCGAAAATCACCACAATTCCATAACAGCATCATACTCCAGTTTCTTTCTGCAATCATTATAAAAGCAGGCTGAAACATCCATGTATGGACTCTATATGCTCGAGTCTGAAACATCCATGTTAATCACAATTTTGTTATACGAGCCAAAAATCACCACAATTCCATAACAGCATCATACTCCAGTTTCTTTCTGCAATCATTATAAAAAGCAGGCTGAAACATCCATGTATGGACTCTATATGCTCGAGTCTGAAACATCTATGTTAATCGCAATTTTGTTATACGAGCATTCCAAGTGAAGAAAAGAAGTAGCGATTTAAAGATAATGGAAAATTTAAGCCTTTTTTTACATCAAAATTTAATTGCTGAAATTTTTGTATATATATAATGTTCATATATATCTACTAATTAGGTACAGAAATAATCTGAATTAATTTAATTTAATTATAGTCAAAGGAAATAAATGGAAATACATGTAAAGGAATAATTTTATCACATGACACTAATGTTCATATCTATACTATTATTTGAGAAATATATTTCCTACGTATCGCTCCCACGTTTGCTCTCAGCATACTTTATCCATTTTTCCCTTTTTGCCCTTAATGAAAACCGTGATCTAATTCTCGGTTTGGTGTTATTAATTTTGATTTTTATTTTGGGCCGTAGCCCACAAAATTATTTCTTGTAAACCCTAAATTATTCTGTGTAAACCCTAAATATATTTTCCTATAAATAGTATAATCTTCTCTAGCCTTTATTTTTTTTGCAGCCGTAGGTTTAGTTTCGTTCGTATAGATATTCTTGTAGGTTTGGTTTAGTTCATACATATTATAGTTTGTTTGTTTTTGTTATATTTGGTGTATGTGTCTGATATTGTGGATTTTTTATATAATATATGCAGAAAGGATAATCAACAAACGCTAGCCCTAAAAGATCAAACAAAAGGTATGTTTTTTTTTTATCATTATGTTTCTCCTTCACACTGAGCTTCAGATGACATAATATTCACGATTACTGGTAAGAATCGAAACCCTCTTCTTCTCCTTTTGAGGGTTTAATTAGTTCATGCATATCATAATTTGTTCGTTTTCTTATTGTATTTGGTGTATAAGACTGATTTATGGATTTTTGTTTGGGATTCTTGCATAAATGACCTAAAATTTGATTTGAAATGCAAATCTAACCCACAAAAACCACCTTCCCAACATTTGCCATTTTGTGTCCAAACAATCCTTTATAGGTTCAGTTATTTACGAAATTGCCATTGTTTTTAATTAATTTCTTTTATTCTCGGAAATCCAAATGACCAACTAATCCTCATCTTTCTTACTTATTTACGAAAATGCAATCATCATCAATTCACCCAACCACCATTTTCAACCAATTTTGAAGCTTTAATGGCACCAAAAACCCATTTTTGAGTTTGTTTAGCTCATTATTTTCTCTTTAAGCTTATATTCTTCCATTTTCTCTCTATTTTCTTCCCAAAAATTCTATAATTTGTCTATTAAAAAGTTGAAGTTCATATATATTTCTATATTCTTGTGAGTTGGTTGTTTTTTGCGGTTGTGCTTCTTTCATTGTGGCTAGGATCGAAGATCTTGACCAGAAAAGAAGCTAAAGACGAGTGGTAAGTCGGATTTTCAGTCAATTTTAGTGTTTTTCAGTTATGGGCTCCGAAAGTAGACTTCTCTCGGTCCGAATGAAGTCTACTAGTCAACGCCCAGGTTAGTTTTGCAATTGACCGCATGAAAAAGTAGACTTCTTTTGGTCCGACTACTCCATTTCCTTTGATAACAAAAAAAAAATGGAGTAGACTTCTCGAGTAGACTTCTTTAGAAGCATGTCATTTTTGCAATTGACCAACCTTTGACTTTGTAGAGTAGACTTCTCTATGCAAAGTAGACTTCTCGCAAGTCATTTTTGCAATTGGCCAAAAAGTCAAATATTTTTCAATTGCAAAAATGACCTGCGAGAAGTCTACTTACAAAAGTAGACTTCTCTGAGAAGTCTACTTTTCATAGAGAAGTCTACTAATCTTTTGGCAATTGCAAAACTAACCTGCGAGAAGTCTACTTTTATCCGAGAAGTCTACTTTTCTTGTTTTTTTAAAAAATTCATTTTTATACAATATATAACGAATTTTTAAGATTTTTGTGATCCTAAGCTTATGTTATTAAGTTTTCTTGCTTATGTATAAGTTTTACATGTTTATATTTTATAGGTATAGTCGAATCAGTTTTCATGTTTTATATGATACTTAGCTTATTAAGAGTAGACTGCTTAGTCTACTCGAGAAGTCTACTAAGTAGACTTCATCCGACTTTTAGAGAAGTCTACTTATTCAATTTTGATGTCTAATGTGGTTTAGATTTTGTTTTTTTTTTCACAGAGAATGGTTCACATACCCGCTGTTTATAGAGAATGGATTAAGAGTGAATCAGTGTGGCAGTTCGAGGTGGATAATAGCAAAGGAGGGCGAATGTTGTTCTTAAGAGATGGTTGCACACATGGTGAGCTTCTTGGTGAATGTTGGCAAAGGAGGGCGAATAGCAAAGGAGGGCGAATGTTGTCACCTTTAAGTTATGTAAAATTAATGACTTTAAGAAGTCTACTCGAGACAGGAGAAGCCTACTCGAAACAAGAGAAGTCTACTCGGTTGACAAGTTATGTGATATAAATGGGAGAAATGTCCCTCTGAATCACTTTTAAGTTATGTAAAATTAATGTCTTTTAGAAGTCTACTCGAGACAGGAGAAGTCTACTTCAGAAATCTACTCGAGACAAGAGAAGTCTACTCGTTTGACAAGTTATGTGATATAAATAAGAGAAATGTCTCTCTGAATCACTTTTAAGTTATGTAAAATTAATGTCTTTAAGAAGTCTACTCGAGACAGGAAAAGTCTATTTTGTAAAATACATAAACACATATAATTTAGGAATGTGATACAAAACATTCAATGCAATTCAACATTACATAGAAAATAACCCTCTAAACAAACAAACATTTAAGGATCACTGATTATAAATCTTAAAATTGGCATAAGAAATTACTACTAAACTAAAATCTTTGAAAACTATGTATGCAACTGAAGTCTGCTCGAGATCGAGAAGTCTACTCGAGAAGTCTATTCGAGAAGTCTACTCGGGAAGTGTACTCGAGAATTCTAAACTTTTTGAACCTTCATATCACTTAAATCTGGCGGAGACAAGCAAGAGCTTTGTTGAGATCTGTAGAACAAAACCATAAATATAAATAAGGTCAGATTTGCAACAATAAGAAAAGAGAAATGTTAAAATTTAGATTTGCAACATAATATACTATATTTATAACATTCAGATCTGCAAAAAAATCAACAAAATTCAGCTCTGCAACAATAACAAAAAATTTAGATATGCAACAAAATTCAGATCTAAAACAAAATCTACAAAATTTATACAACAATAAACTCAGACAACAATAAGCTCAAATCTATAATAATAAGCTCAGATTTGTGATATGAACACAAAACAAACAAAAAGAGGAACACAAAAGCTCAGATTTGCTTACCACTACCATAACCTGCAAGTGGGAGAAGGTTGAATGCAAGATAGAGAGGATGAAGAGGATATTGATAGCAAGAGAGGAAGGAGAAGAAATTCTTGGCCAGATTTTTAAAACTACTCTCTCCTTTTGCCACATCAGCAAGAAATCATTAATGAAAAACTCACTTTAGATTTTTTTTTTAAAATACACATAAAATAAATAAATAGAACTACTAAAACTAATATAGTTATTTACAAAAACTAAATAACATTAAAATATCATTTTTGAATCAGTAAAATAAACATTATTTAAATCTATAGCATTAATATATACTATGTTCTTTATAATATAATTAGTATTTTGGAAAAAAATATTGCTCCAAAAAAACTTAAATAATAGTTAATAGATAAAAGGTTAAAAAATAGTAATTTCTAGAAAACAATTTAAACATTCAAAACTTAGAAAAATATAAAACGCTCATTTTCTAGAAACATAAAGATTATATACATAATAAATAAATAAATAAAATTTAGAAATTAACACAACCGTGTTTCACATACGTGGATACAAAATTGTCTATTGTCTCTATAAAGATAAACTTATAATACTTTATGAATATATTACTTATTACAAAAATATATACAGTACATTTACAGAAAATAAACTAGCATAACTTTATTTTAAGCATTAATATATTATATTTATATATTTGAAATATAACATACAAATTTTTATGTAAAAGAAAATGTCTGAAAAATATCCATGACCATCCACATCAACAAAAAGTTTTTTTTTACTAACTCAACATGTAAAGATAACTAATATGATTTAAAATAAACTCTTTTAAAATAATATAATATATATTATTAATATAATTATAAGCTCATCAAAATATATGTGTAGGGTAAGAAAAATATCTAAGTTAAATTACAATCCAAATGCAAATCAACCTTTTAAACCTTTTGAGTTTTTAGAAACTCAACATACTTTGTTTAAAAGAATGAGTTAGTATGAAATTATATTTTTATATGTTTTACTTGCCTTATTTATCTACACTTCTATAGTTTACAGATGCTTCAGAAACCAAATCAAAACTGCAGTTTATTAATATGATAGTGATTTTGTATACTATGTGAATGTTGTTTTTATTTATATGAACAATAATTCTTTTACGGTTTTGTAAGAGTTTAAAATATTGATTGTTGTTTTGTATTTGAGACTGCTAATGAAATAAAAATACTATACAAACACAATAATCAGGTACTTTAGTTGTACTAATATATTTGATAAGTTATTTTCTTTTTATTAAAAATAAAAAATGAAAAATGAAAATTTGTTTTTAAATTAAATAAAAAGAAAACTTATAGTTGTTGAGTTCAATTATATATCAAATTTAATTAAAATAAAAAATAATTTTTATAATATTTTAAAAGTTAGTGAACAACAATGAGTTTATATACATATATTAAATTTTAGATTAACAATTATTTTTTACTTATATCAACTTAGTAAAGTTTTAAATTAAATTATAATATATTTTTGAATACGTTAAAAATTTTTTGATATATAACCACATCAAAGTAATATTAAAAATTAAACATTATATTAAAAATAAAAATCATTAATTTAAATAATAATTAAATAATTATAAAAATCATCTGCCCATGGAGAAAGATAATCAACTAATGCCAGCCCTAAAAGGTCAAACAAAAAGGTATGTATTATAAATTATTTACTATATAAGTGAGATATAAGTATAATATATGTATATATATATAAAGTGTGTGTCTTTGGAAAGAAAGAGAGAGGAGGGAAACGTGAGGGAGAGAACAGGAGAGAGAGGCGTGAGGGTGAGAGTAAAATGTTTTTCTTATAACTCGTATATTATTACAAAGAGAGAAGAAGGCTTTATATAGAGGGGTAAAGATGTTTAATGACAAAAACTAAATGGATAAACATTTATCTATAAAGACAAAATGTTATCTTTCAACACTCCCCCTTGATTATCCATTTTTCTGTATTATGTACTGTCTCGTTAAAAACCTTATCATGGAGAAACCCCTTTGGGATAAAAATCATGACAGGAAAAAAGAGTGCAGTAATGCTCCCCCTCGAAATAACGAATCTGATCTTTTCATTATTGCACTCTTTTTTCCTATCATGGTTTTATTCTAAACAGGGTTTTCCATGATAAGATTTTTAACGAGGCAGTATATAATACAGAAAAACGGATAATCAAAGGGGAGTGTTGAAATATAACATTTTGTCTTTATAGATGAATGTTTATCCATTTAGTTTTTGTCTTTCAATGTCTCAACCATCATCCTTTTCTTTCATTAAATTTGTCCATCACACTTACTGTAAGTGGATTACTCAACATTCTCCCCTAGGAATGGAGTTAATTTAATTGGACAAAACTGATGGTTTCTCATCACGAGTTTATTATATTAAGCTACCAGGAGGATTTATATCAACTTCGAGTTTTGTGTGAATTCTCTCGCTTGGAGATTCAACCACTTATTTTACAAGATCTTCAGGATCTTTACTCGTGATGGATTTATCATTTAAACCATCAAGGATATAGTGGCATAAAAATCATGATATTTGCCTTATTTCATCAAATATCGTTTCCGATATATCGATAGTGTTCAAGAGATCATTTCTCTCTAGATGCAACTTTGCACCTACCGCCCAAGACATATAATTCTTTCCAAAGTCAATGGTGGCGATTTCGAGCTTTGACAAATTATTACTCAATAACAAAAGCTTAACTTGTTAGATTAAAAATTTGAGCATAGTAACAGCATAATAAAGGACGATAATTAAAAGCAATATGAGGAGGCAGAACCTATTATACAATTGCTGATTGCATAAATAAATAAATGAACAAAGATGAGGAGTTTTAATCATCCACACAATAAATAAATAAATAAATAAATAAATGAAAAAATAAATAAAGATTGAGATTTTAATCTCCCACTCAATGATCTGAGGATACATAGTCTACCATGTGATCATTTAGATTGTGAAGACATAGCCTACTATAACGATCTGCTCGGAGGAAGCAGAGCCTACCATCCCGGCATAATAAACAATATAATTATTTAATCGTGGAGGCAGCGCTTACCATAACGATCAGCTCGGAAGAGGCAGCGCCTACCATCCCGGCATCACATATAAACGGAGAAGGCAGAGCCTATCTTTCCGTAAATAATAAAATTTAAAATTAAATTAAATTAAAATAAATTTTACCTTCCGAATGTAGATCTGACTTCAGGATATATATTAAGAGATGCTCGTGCTGATAACATGTTATAAATTATTTATTATATAAGTGAGATATAAGTACAATATATGTATATATATATATAAAGTGTGTGTCTTTGGAAAGAAAGAGAGAGGAGGGAAACGTGAGGGAGAGAACAGGAGAGAGAGGCGTGAGGGGTGAGAGTAAAATGTTTCTCTTATAACTCGTATGTTATTACAAAGAGAGAAGAAGGCTTTATATAGAGGGGTAAAGATGTTTAATGACAAAAACTAAATGGATAAACATTCATCTATAAAGACAAAATGTTATCTTTCAACAGTATGTTTGTTTTATAGTTATGTTTGTCTTTCACATCGAGCTTTAGACCACATGATATTCACGTTACTGGTAAGAATCGAAGCCCTCTTCTTCTCCTTTTGATCCAGACAAAGATGAACACAATATATTTTTATTGACGAGGCTTATTTTTGTTTTATTTGGTATGAGTCTGATCTTTCTTTGTTTTGTTTAAAGGTATATGAAGAAAGAAAATCAAATGCACACTCTTTCTGTCTCCGCCCCTCTTTCTCCAATCGGAAGCAAAAATGGATTCGACGAAGCTTAGTGAGCTTAAGGCCTTCATTGATCAGTATACCCTTCCCTTCTCTCTACACCTACGCTCTCTTTCATCCGCGAGTACCTCAAGAGGTAGTACTTTTGATCTTCTCTAACTTTGTTCGCTTTGATCTAATCATCCTTTTTATGCTTTAGTTTCTATCTATGGTGGTTGGGACTTAGAAAGTATTGATCTTTGAGTCTATGTTTGTGGATAGTGTTTTATTTGCTGAATCTCACTGAAATTTCGCGAAATTGATATCCCCTTTTCCATTTTGTTGAAGAAAAGTCACGCCTTTGGTTTTAAATGCCTGGATTTGAACTTTTTGTTTGTATCTGTGATATGTGAGGCTATTATATTGTACTTTTGAGGGTCCAAGAATTTTGGGTTTAATTGAGTAGTGTTCTGTGGTTTTTCTCCTTTTGGTGTTTTTTTTGTACGCCGCATGATTTCAGAAGCGGTATGCAATTATTATGGTTGTTTGAATTCATTTATGTTTTGCAGAAGATTTTGTAATTTGATTGATTGGTTCTGATGAACAGAGGAGTTTCGTAGCGGAAGAAGAGAGTGATGGTGATATGGAGGAAACCGAAGAACCGAAACCCAAAGTGGAGGAAGAAGAAGAGGAGGAAGCGATTGATGAATCTGATGTAGAGCTTGAAGGAGACACTGTTGAACCTGACAATGATCTTCCTCAAAAGATAATAAGATCGAAAACCTCAGCTTTCGATTTTACTAGCATCTCTCGGATTATTCCCTTGGTGTTGACACAGATGGGGATGCATCAGTGGAGGTGACTGATGAGAACCACGAAGATGCTCAAGAAGCTCTCTGAAGGAAAGTTTGATGAAGCCATTGAGCATCTAACTCAGTCAATAACGTTGAACCCGACATCAGCCATTTTGTATGGAAACAGAGGTGAGTATAAGATGAATTTGATCATTTAACTTCCATCAATATTCTATATATTCGAATAGATGCTTAAACCTAAATCACTTCTCCTATAAATACTGTATATCTCTTCTCATATTGGCTATATGTTTAATTTTTTGGTTTTTGCTTTAGTGTTTTGCTGATAACTTCTCTTGGTATATTTTTCTTTTTATGTTTTTGTACAGATTTTTATTATAGCTAATAAAAACCCTAATCGCTTTTTCCTTATATATTGTTTGTGGCCTTTCGAGTATAATGCTATTGTTGTTTGTTCTAACTCAATTTTCTTTTTTCGCTGTTTCTCAATATTTTTGTTCCATTATTTGTTTGATATGAACGCAAGTGGATACGGTTTTGGTTTCGTGATCGTAATTAGTTCATACATATCTTGATTTTTTCAAATTTGATATGAAACTGTTTTCACTTTTTTCAGACTGTGAGAAAAAAGAGTAAAACAAAACGAGCAAGTTAGCCATCAGATCTAAAACAGAAAAATTTGTAAGTTATTCGATTATCTCTTCATTTAGACATGGCCTAATTTGATAACACTAATCTTCGTATGAACTTTATAGTTTTTGTTCTTTTACAGGATATATTAGTACGTTTTTACTTATTTCGTCTTGATATATTTGAACTTTTTATATTTGGTGATTTGTTTTGATTCAGCATATAACCTAACTATTCTGATTTTTTGTTGTTGTTGTTTGTAGGAAACATCGAGAGCCTTTTTACTAACAGTTTAGCGATAGAAAGTAATATCTATATGTATTATTCCGTTTGTCTTGTGAATCTAGATACATATTATTCTGTTTTCTTTCTAACATTTTTAAGTAAACAAGCATATTCGATTCATGTGTGCCTATTTTCTTGATGACTGTTTCTTTCAATAAATATATTTGTTTGGCTGTTTTTCTCTAGGGATATGAGTGTCGTTGATCTACAAGGATATATCTTTGCAAAAAGAGGAGTTATGAGCCCTCGGTTAATAGCCTTGGCATCTGCTACAAATAATGATTTGTGTTTCGATTAAATTAAACTAGCGGATGGAGTATAAAAATCAGGAAAAAGATAAGAATAAGATGAAAGATGTGCATGAGAAGAAAAGTGCAGAAGGGTCAGTGACAGAAGTGACTTCGCCTGAAGATGCAAAGATATTCAGCCAAAAATCACATCTGATTCTTTCTTTCCAAAGTACAATCCAAATCTCTATTTTCTTCCTGCATAAGTTACATGTTTTAATTTTTATAATGCATGTCATAATCTGAAATTGTATTTTCATGTTCTTGCTCTGTTATAATAGCCATTGTTATATGAAGCATGTAATGCATATTTGTAGAAATGCTCACAGAGTAGCTATGGATTCTTGAGAATAATGTGATACAACAATTTGGTACTTCTTCATACTATCATATTTAAAGAGTACAGCCCTATTCAAAGAGTTAATTGGGGTATTAGTCATTTTAAAGTCCCTCTTTGTTTGTTTATTGCGTTTTGGCTACTGTTATTTTTTTGTTTTTAGCATTCTGTATGGTTTAACTATATTTCAAATAAATAAAATTCTAAATATAAGTTTTGACAATTTATGCTTTATGTCCAGCTTCATAGCTTTACGAGTCCCCTCGAGAGTTTGAGAGAAAATGTCTTCCTCTCTATGTCCACAACAAAGAAGCTTCACTTCCTCTCATCCTATAGAAAGACAAGCGACAATTCGACTCTATTATAAACTACAAGAACTCAAACCAAACTATTTAGAACCATTGTTCCTCCCAGCAACAACCAGCGATACTATATCTTCTATTGCAACCACGCTGGAGGTGGACGAACCAGAACCAGTTGCTGTGATAGTGCCTAAAATTTCCTTAACCAAGCTGATCAACGATATGCAGAAGGACAAACAACTCGTGTCTGTGGAGAGAGACATATGAGCTTTACATGACGAAGGCAAAAGTGTCGATTAAAGTTTTGTTCAATAGCAGATTAGTACATATTGCGATTGGAAAACGAGATTCTGAACAAGAAGAAGAACAACAACAATAGACAATGCTCTCAGTATTCTTCTTCTTTTGCTTCCATGGTAATGATGGGATGAGGACAAAAGTAATACTCCTGCAGAACCAATGTATATCATTAGATGGCTTTTGTATCTAAAACATTATTGATTTATGAAGCCTTTTGGTAACTTAAATGTGTTCCATGACCAAGAAGAAAACTTGATTAAAAACAGTGTCTGTCATTGCTCTTTTCGAATTTTGGTCTCAGCATTTCTTAAACAAATGCAAGTCGAATGCTGATTTGTGTGTGAAAAAAAGAAAGAGAACAACAACTATAATATCAAAAACTTTTTGGTTTAGGATTGGGGTCTGATGATCGTGGTCGTTTGTGCTATTATGGAGGCGAGTGGATGGACATCGAAGGAGGCATTGCGAGTGTAGATTTGGATCTTTCCCTATTCTGGTGATGTTGTAGAACCTCTTGGACTTTAGAATGCTGTTTATGATTTTGTATCAGATCATGTTGACTAATTTTAGTTATTCTGTTTAGTTTTAAAGTGTCCCTTTTTGTACGATTGTTACAATATGACATCTATATATTTGTTTTGATTTTTTCATTTAATAAAGTTTCGTAATTATTACATAGATTTAGTTGATGCAATTTAAATACCCATTCAATGTGTTGGTTGTCTAAGAAGAGACCACAATAAAAAAACAAGAGATTAAAATATTCATTATAAGTTTCACTCGATGAACTCATTTATTTTGTAAATGTTAGAGTTGATATATGGATTTAAAATATGTAGTGTGTGTGTGTTAGATTTCAATATCATGGTTGGTAAATATAACCTAGTCGCATTGTTATAAACTAGGTTTAGAAAAAAGTCATTAAAAATTCATATCTGTTTTAAATAATAAATTATATTAGAGAAATGATTGAGTAGTATTCACTTAATTTCTTAAAGATTGGGATTTTAAATATGTTTGTAAATTCTAAAACAAGTTTAATAAAAGAATTAGTTAGTCTAAATAAGTTTTGCTTAAACAAAGAGGTACTCAAGATATTCGTATTTTCTAAAACATCATTCCATTTGTTTAAAGAATTATTAGCTTTTCCGTAATAGAAAGTCGAGGTACAGTAAATCACCTATGCTCTACAATCAGTTTTATTTGTTTTCCACATTGTTGAATGTTTCATTTTTGATTTTTTTTTTGCTGTATAGAAATATTCTTGATTTACTGAGGTGGAACAAAGTCCGATTGTAAAAGAAAGACATCCCTGTGGAATATCATTTGGACGAAGTTTGATTCTGTTTATCTTTTAGGTTTCTGGAAAATTTGTTCATTTAGCCATCTAAGATAACGTCGAGATGTCTCCGGGTATGTGCAACGTTCACATTCCATGTTTTTTAGTCATAACAGGTTTCGAAGAAGCGATTTTATTTCTCTTTTACTGGAGTTGTATATTCAGTACTTTAAACCTCTCAGTGATTTGCTGTTCTGGATCAGGTGTTTTGGGAAATCACATAGATGGAGCCAACCAAAGTGAAGCTAGGGATGGATTTGCAAACATTGTCTTAAGACTTTGGATATAATAATTAGAGATATCATGAAATGTGTTAAAGTTTCGGTCACATGTTTTTGTAGATCAAGAATATGAATCTTGAGAGTGAGAGATCAAGAATACTAATGTGAGAGAGAGAGAGAGAGAGAGAGAGAGAGAGAGGTAGGGGAGAATTAAAAGGAGAGAAAGAGGGAGAGAGGAAATAATAAAGCTGGATGCTCAAAGCATTTAGAGCTACCATCCACGACGGAGTGAAGTAGGCCATCTTCTTGAGTGATTAAATGGGTTAGTTGAAACTAAGATTTTTATGTAGAGAGAGAGAGAGGAGAGAGAAATAAGTAAGAGCGAATTAAAAAGGGAAAGAGGGAGAGAGGAAATAGTAAAACAGGATATTCAAAGCATTGTTTCAGTCGATTGATCTTGAATTATGCTTTGATTGGTAACATGAGTTACCATTGATTTTATTTGCATCAATAGCCTAACTCAAAATGTCACCAATCATGAGTTAATTTTACTTTTTTCTTTAAACTTGAGAGAGAGAAAGAAAGAGAGAAAAAGAGAGAGAAAGAGAGAGAGAGAGGAGAGAAAGAGAGGAGAGAGAGAGAGGAGAGAGAGAGAAATAGGTAGGAAAGAATTAAAAGGAGAGAAAGAGAGAGAGAGGAAATAATAA